CATGCAATAATTGGTACAATAATTGGTCTCTACTCACCTGGAGCAACAAAGGAAGAAAAGTCATAAAAAGGAAGAGGAAAAATGGAATGTGTGGCTAGTTGCCTCCACAAGCAACTGGCTCCTTTGCTTTGAGACCAGAAGAACTGGATGGTGCCCGGCTACCATTACTAAACGTTTTGATAGAACATTCTAAAGACTCCTGATCAAAAGGTGGGAAAATGCTGAAGAGAATTTAAATTCTCATGGAATCTAGACTTCTGGAACCCCTGAGGCTGGGATGAACCCCTGAAACTCCTGCCCTGAGATAATCTTTAACCCTGAAACCATAAACCAAAAATATCCCCTGAAGCCTTCTTTAAACCAAACAGTCTAGCTTAACTAGTAAAGAATGTCTGCCGTGAGCACTGTGCTCATTTAAAGAACTTATTATATGGGATGAAATTGTTAACAGCAGCTCGAAAGGTTAGATAGGAAGCTTAGGGGGAAGGGAGTTTAATGTCAACAGGGGAGGAACAAATTGGAAAAGGAGGGTGAGAATGGCTGCACAATTCAAAGATTGTAATCAATGTCATAGTATAACATGGACGAGGACCAAAATTATTGCTGAAGCAAACATATTGAGTTGGAAGGAAACTGTACGTGACATAAAGAATGAGTACGTGTTTTGCTGTGTATTTTTTCAACAACAATTTAAAAAAAAAAAGTCAAGACAATTAAAAAAAAAAAAAAGAGCGTAAAGAGGCTCTAAGACCAAAAAGTTAGAAAACCATTGCTATAGAGAACAGAAATAAATCCCTGCCCTTATTGAGCTCAGGTTCTAACTGGGAGAGAGAGACAAGTAGAACATTAAATATATCACCTATCAGAGGGTGATAAGCAGTCCAGAGAAAATAAAGCAGGGAAGGAGGACTGAGCATCAGGCAAGGAGTGGCCAAGGAAGGGCTGAGATAAGGCGCCCTTCAGAACAGATGTGAAGGAGTGGGGGACACAGCATCCCTCCACAGGCTCGTGTCTAGCCATCACCTACTGAGCGTACTACGTGCTGAGCTCGGCACTCAGCCCTTTGCCTGTATGCTTTCACTGAATCCTCATATAACCCAGAACTAACCCACCGCCGTCCAGTTGATTCCGACTC